CTCTTGAAGGAATTGTCATACGCATTTTTAGTTTGGGGAAACTGAACAACTTTGTAGAGGTGAAGTTTGAGGCTTGTTATAAAGAACCTGAACTATCCTTCATAAACTGTAACGTGGGGGGCAATTATAACAACTGATCCAGTGATCTCTTCTGGAGTTAAACTCTTAAGTCAACATCAACCGCAGAATGTGTGGGGAGGTGGAAATTGTTCCCATTCACAGCATATAGTAATCTTCAGCTTCACAATATTTAGACTGTCATGTAAAATAAGATTCTCAGCTGGGAATTCACCAGATTCTTCATCTTTAAGTTTGCTGAACCACATTCTGCTTCTGGCTTTGAGCATCTAACTAGTCCAGAAGCAGGCTCTGTCTCTGAGATCTTCCACAATTTCTCAGCAAGGTCTGCACTCTGTGGTTTAAATTTTACTTCACAGCTCATTAGGAGCATGAGGTATGTGCGTAGCAAACGTACAGAAAATCAGAGACTGCATCAAGATCTAAATATGTTGCTTTTGCTCAATAAATTGACAGCTCTCTTGCTGCCTCAGTTTTCTCACTAGTCTGAGACAGCTCCATGGACTAGGATTGCAGTATTTTGGGGATGTACAGAAGCATCCCTCAGCAGTTCATGGCTTCTTATATGAATCAGGAAATTCTTTGAGCTCCCAGTGCTTCATCTGACTTTACTATTCTCACAAAAATTCTGGGCCCCTCTTTAAACAAAAATTGTTGACCTTCTTCTGTTCCCTTTTTCCACCATAAGCTTCTCCTTTCTCAGTGACATTCTCAGGCTTATATGTCTCTTCACAGATACATGGCTTCTTTGTTCTGCCAGGTTTTACTTTACTGCTCCATGAATACAAGGTGGAGTTATGTCACCATTTGTCAGCTTAGCATGTTGGTGTAGCTGTTGCCAAGCTGGAGCACTGTTAAGACTGACAACTGTTCATCATCTCGCCTGAAAAAAGGTGGATTTCATACACAAATGCAGTCATCCAGTAGCACAGCAATCTTCCTGCTAGCAACATTTCCACTACAATTAGAACTCTAAATTTCTGACTACATAGATTCCCCACCTCACCACAGGAAGCCCATTCTTCACCATCTGAGACTAATGTAATCATCTTGCCCCACTGCTTGAAAAACCTGTCTGCATAAGGAATGCACTTAAACCCACTCTTCAAAATTCTACTGCACTTTCCTTATGTAAAGTGATTTCTAACACAGACTTTGCATGAAAGACATTTCACTTCTCACTTGGAAAAGCCCATTAAGGAAAGAGGGTTGTGAGTAAACAAACCTCAGCTGCAGAAAAAGGGCAGTAAACATAAAAGCCAAAAGTAAATATATCTGAACTCAATTAATGTTTCTTTCAAGTCAGCTTTTAACAATGTTTGCACAGTGCTCTTACCTGTGTCAGCTGCTTTTTACCAGCTGCATACTGAAGTTGAATGTGCTCTGGCTATAAAATAGTATTTCAGGGCACACTTGACAACATGCTGAGGAAAATTAGGATGTCATGTCAAACCAGATAGCAGTCATTGATCTGAAGCCCACATTTTCATCAAAGAAAAGTCAGATAATTGCAAAGGATACAGAAACTAATTTGAACAACAGATTTACAATCAAAAGTCACTTTGGGTTAGGAAGGTCTTCTGGAGGTCACTTAGTTGATCCCCACCACCACAGAAAGTAAAACCAACTTTGATGTTAGATCTGTTCCAGTAACAGTGATTCCTTACAGTATAGAGTTGGTTTGTAAAACCTTTCTCCTTTGCTATTTTGTGAATTAGGAAGATACTGGTCTTGGTGGCAAGCAGCATGTTTCTGTCAGGTGAAGGAAGAAATCCTGCAAGAAAAGATGACTGCTCTTTCTTAAGAAAGACATAGGGGTTTATTCATTGGCAGTCCAAACCTCTAAAAGGCATTCCCAGCTGCTCCCAGTAAGCCATGGTCAGAATCAACTGGTAGTTTTCTGGTATGCAGACATAAGTCTTGTAAGACTTATATTTCAACTGGCCATTAGAAAACCCCACTTCAGTCTTTTTCCAAAGCATTCTTGATGTTAACAGCTTCTTTCAGCCATCTCTATGCTAGTGTAAATCAAGTAAATGGTGAGGGTTTGGGCTGTTGCTTATATGAAGGTGAACATTGTACAAAACAGAGCTAATCTTACTCTCATATGTGCTCCTAATCACAGAGAAAGCTGCAACTCACAGATACTAAAAATGTTGCTAGGGTAGAAAAGCCCAGATGAACCTACCTCGAGCCCTTAAAATCTGTGATAAATAGCAGAGGTGAGGAATGAGCAGGAAAACTGATCACCCAATTTGCCTGTAGCTCCTGTGCTAAAACAGCAAATGTGTCACTTCATGTGACTCTAAAGCAGGTCAGAGGATTGCAAAAGTCATGTTCCTTAGCCAGACAAGAAGAATTAAATAATTTATTTTATACATGCTTGTGAAAAATCATCATAATTAAAATTCAGTGAACTATGTTTTTGATTACTGTAAACCAGTGAGTAGATTCTTTGCACATCTTTTCATACAAACATTCCACTAACTTTAACTGAATCCATACCTTTATACAGTCCACTAACATGCTATTGCTTATGACATCCTCCTAGTTGGGACAAATGTATGGAGATGAACAGAGGAGGTACATATCAGAAAAGATAATTGAAGCTTCCTATGCAAGATATCCATTATGTCACTCTAAAATGTCAGTTGAGAGTAAGTTAAGTAAGTTTTAAAGTCAATCCCTACAAACATCTTTATGTTTCATCTAAAAGTATTTAATATTTTGTAGTCTAATAATATCACTGCAAACTTCAAAACTATAAAAAGAAAAAACAAACCCTTCAAACATTTTGCAGTTTACCTGTATCTAAAAGCTCCAGTTTACCTGTATCTAAAAGCTCTTACTTCAGCTGTTTCAAGATAACAGCATGTAAAACAGTAGCCGAAGCAGAAAGAACAGACTCATCGCATCACACACATATCATATGCTCAATGATTTACAGTAAAAAAACAACTCATGCATGAATAGACACATATAGACTGGTCAAGCTGCTGATAAGCTAACTTTCACATACTAAGATGGTGACAATCATCCTAGTTTATTTTTATCGCAGTTCATAAGTATCCAGAGAGAGCTGGTAAAAATAGGAACTTGTAAACCAAGATATATTTCTGGATATTCTTATGGTTATTACAGTAAACAGTACTATTGCTCTTTTCATATGAAATGGAGTGAATAGGGCATAGGATTGTTATGTAAAACTGAGCTGCCTCTGCCTAGGGATGGCAGGTGAAACGTTTCAGTGTACAGACCATTAAGAGGGAAAGCAGGGCAGTGTTTGCTATGCCTGTAAAATGGGCAGGAAGTGCTGCCCACACCTGCTCTTCCTGCCCACGTCAAGGCAACATTTACTCAACAGCATAAAATAATGTCAGGATGACTTTCATTTCAGTAAGGAACAAAGATAATCACCATAATCTAATTTCAGAGGCTGCCATGTACTATTTATGTTCACCCACGTAAATTCAGTTTGAGTTGCTTCCATTTTATGATTATAAGGGAAAAATAAATGGAAAAATGCAAAATTAAGTCCTTCCAGGAATTCAGTGTGGTAGATGTTTTTTTACCGTGGCTGACAGAAGGGGCTTGTAGTTCTCAGCAGAGTACAGATGTGGCATGGGGAGAAATGGCTTGACCTTATGCACTGACCCTGAAATATTGCTAGATGGTGCAAGCCAGGGCACTCCCCAAGCTACTATTGCATCTGAAGCTAAGCAATGCTTCAAGAAGCTGCCTCTGATTCTCTGACATCTGCCTGATTTGCCATGTCAGCAAGGGCATTGCAAGACTAGTGTGGATTTGTCTTAGCTGAATCCAGTGGCTACAAATGAGTATTTAAAGGTACAATACATAGATATTAAAGCAGAGGTGATGACAGAGAGAGACTTGGTTTTCTCTTACACAAGTAAAAGCAACAGCAGCTCTGTTTAAACAGCTTTAAAAACAGCTATCCCATTAAAAAGGTGTGAATCCTGTCTTTCTGGTCTCATAGCAGCACTGTAGGTCCACTCCATGCTGGAGTAAATAGCTGCAACATGACACTGGAGAAGCAGCTCCCAGCCAAATCCAGAGCAAGTGCCATGAAGAAAACCTTAACATTACCGATAACAGTATTTTTTGTGAAACAGATAGCACTCTTCCAAGAGCAAGAGAATTACAAAAGTAGTTTCCATGTAAAGACATTTCTTCAATCTTGTTAACATCTATCTTAGGAGAAAATGCAGCTCACAAGAGTTAGTGCCCTTTGAAAACAATGTGCACGGTTCAGTGCCCTTGCTTTACTATCTGATGACTACCTAAGATGTAAAGTTGTTTTCTGTTGGGCATTTTTTCAAAACTGGTGCCGTAGAAGCTACTCTCAGTACACAGCATATTTGGAGTTGAACAAGGAATTTTTAGGCATTCCAGTAACAGAAAGTAAAACAGGTAAGTGCCTGGCATGGAAAAGTCTCATCCTCTGAGAAAAGTTAAAATCACTGTTTCAAAATAATCAGTGGAGAAATCTAGCCGAGCTTCATTTTCACTTTTGCTTCCAAATTCCTCCTAAAAAAATTCTGTTGAGTAATCAGTTCAAATGTAAAACGTCTTAACTGTCATGTACTATAGCATCACTGTTCACGGTTTTTTACCTTACGTAACGGGTTTTACATAGATTGTGCATTAAAATTGTCTTCTGTGACATAATGTTTGGTGTTGGGATTTGGGGGGTTGGGGTGGTGCTCTGTTCTTTGATTTAACTTCAACCTCTTACTGCTTTTGTCAAATGAAATGTCTTCCATATATTGCCATGCTGCTGGGTACTTGTGGTAATTTCCATTTTAATTTGTTGCAAAGTTTGGAAATGAGATACAGGCATATAATGTTGTCTCCACCTGAAAGATGGCTGTTTAGACATAAGATAGCATGTACATCTTTTATTCAAATTCCCACAAGATGTTTGAACTCAAGCAACATTCCTGAGACTGTAACAATTAATAAAGGCATTCTTAAACAAAAATTCCTTGAACAACAGTAAGTCCAAAACTAAAGTGTATCAAAGGCACTCAGATAACCTCTTCACAATGGTAAACCACATTTCATGATAGCATAATTCTCAGTAACTTCAAGATATGCTATCTAGAGGCATAACTTTCCATTACTGCAGTGCCAATAAATCCCCATGAGTTTACTGTTCATCCCAAACCTAAAGTGCTATAACTTTCCTTTGAAACAGGTACAAAAAGTGCAAATTACAGCATGTGATATGAAGAGTTTTCACAGACCCACACTCCCATTGTCTCTTGAAGTCGTGACAGTTGACAGGTATAAAGCCTCAGTTTGAGAGTTAAAGTCATCTCCTTAAAGAAAGAATATGGAATAGTATTATTTTTAAAATCTGAAATAATTTAAGCAATAAAATAGCCTGATTTTAACAACTGAGTCTTAAAGAGTGAAACACCTGTCTTCATTTATGTAAGCTTTTCTGGGCTGTTCTGAAGTTATCATGGCTCCTTAAAGCTGCCATTAATTACAAAGACATCCTGTTGTAATCTTTTCAGAGAGAAGTATTCTCTCTCTCTCTTTCTTATCTGTGATCCAAATTCTGAATTTGCTATTACATCAAAGCTATCACTGACTCTCAGCCATATAAATTAAATAAACCCCCTGAAATCTGGTTAGACAGCATCCATGGGAATCTATGTATCTGAATAAAAGTTTGCAGAACTGGGACTTCAGTGATGAGTTCAAATGTGCTGCAACTTCAGTGCTGATACAGCTTGAGCTGTAAATTAAAATGATAACGTGAACAATCCTTGTTCCTGTAACCAGGGCCGTGTGGGTCTTTTCCAAGGCTCTCTGGTAAAGTATCTGTGGCTTTTGTGCTTCAACTACCTACTCATCATGGAAACAAGGTTCTTTCCAGTGTTTCTTAAAAATATATGATGCTGAGAAATATAAATGTTTGTCATATGACTTACTGCCTGTTGCACAAAGATTTCGGTCATTAAATGAAGAAGTAAAACAAAACCACAAAAAGCTACCTCTCCTTTAATTTCTTCATTTCAGTAAGTGCACAGAGGAGTCTAGGGCCTACAAAGTGAAAAAATTCTACAACAGTAATAAAAAAAGCCACAGGAAGCCACACCATGCTCAGACAACATGCACTGGAATTATGTCCGGACATGCTCCAGCACTGTCCCCCAGATTGCTGCTTGCCTTGAGCTTTTGTTCATTTGCACATGGCATAATTCCACTAAAGTTTCACTCCATCACATGAAAAATAAGAAAGGGCCTTTGACTACAGCAACACTGATTTCTGTAGGGTGAAAGTGTTTTTTCTGAAAGTGTTATTTTGACTGTAATATATACCGATGGCAGTGGATTGGATAGATACTGATAAAATGCAAGTACTACAATCAGAGGTGATATGAGAATCAGTGAATTCATGCCCTCTTCATCCAATCCCTAGTTTTCATTTCACCTACAGAAGTTATTTTTAAACTTTTTTAAAATCACTTTTAAAGGTGACTTCTCGATATATTTGTTTAAGCAATGAGAAACACGGGTGGGTTCTCAAGTAAATCCTGTCCTTGAAAATACCCTGAAGTTGCCTACATGTCCAGAAGCTGCTGTGTATTTTTTCTTCAGGCTGCTCAGTGAGCTACATCACAGTTTTGCTCCAGCTTTGCTCCTTGGGGGAGAATCATGCATATTCCTGGAGCACATTAGGCAGCCTTGGGGCTTGCCTCAATAGGCTGTTACAGTCTGCTTGGACTCCAGGAACCCAATGCCACCATACCTAATATCAGCCACAGCCCCTCTCCTGACAATACATTAACCTATCAGACTTTTATTTATAGGTAACAAATCTGATTTATATAAATAGGTGTTTTAAGAGCTTTCTTATCATATTGCTTATAGTTTTCTATGAGGGTTTCTTTTTTTCTTTTTTTAGTACAGGACAGTTATATGCATCCTGATACTTTGTTAGACGTTATCTTCCTTCTGCAACATGAAAAATTCCTGGATGTCTAGGAAAGTCACATACTTGTAAGATGAGATGTGGCTCAGTGGATGATCTAATATTCTGGATAAATGAGGTATCATTGTTAAAACCTGTGCCCTGAGCCAAAAGTATGACAGACTACTACCACAAAAATCTTGATGCCATCCAAAACAACCAGCTTTCTATGTGTATCTTGCTCAGATGAGGCTACTAGAACTGCAGTTAGTATACAGAGGTGTATACCAAGCTATATACACAAGCTACCTGTATTTCAGTGAAAGGGAACAAACATTTATAAATTTTTACATCACCTGTGAGAAAGTCATAATGTTAGATACTGCATTTTTTGAAAATTGAAGAAAAGTTTAATTTAAATTCAAAACTAGCCTCTATTTTGATGTAACATTATTTAAGTTGCCATCTACATATTTATAAAGATTTTAGCTGTAAGAAAGAAAAAAGTATAAGCATTAATATAGACTACCCTACAACTTACTGTTCTCGTCTTTCAGGTTAGGGTTCAGTTTTCTTCTCTTGTCTGTTAAAGTAAATATATACAGATTTAGATTAAATATTCTAGATATTAAATTCAACAAACTTTTAGATTAAACTGAGTTTTAATCACATTTAAGTTTATTATTAACTCATGCCGAATACATAAACTTCTTTACACTACACTTCCTTTCTTTTACAAATTTTGAACTAAATTCTGAAGTCCTTAATAGCAAGACTTTCATTTCATTTGTCTGTACTAGAGTCTATGTATGTGCAAGAAAATACTAGAATAATAGTCTGTTTGTTTTATTATCTTTCCACTATTGCTCTTGCAAACAAGAAAAGAAACACTATTTGTAATAGTCCAGTACAACATACTACTTTAATTATACAGCCTTAATGGAGAAGGAAGGTAAAATTTCTATGTCATATACTATAGCTACAGTGTCTTTGTAGCCATGAAGAAAAACACCATTCAAACCATGTTTTTACAGCCCTTACACAAGCCAAAGCTTGTTTGTGTTCTTTATAGAATAGTATCTGGTCAGATTAAAAAAAAAGTTATCATCCTATATACATTGTCCCATGTAAGTGACAAGGTGAGGAAAATAAAACTCAACTCAAATGATTCAAGATCTCATTTTAGAACAGAGTGCATCTAGAAATAAAACATGACCAAGGTCACACAAGCATCCCTAGAGTTACTAAAATTTCTAAAAGGTTGTTCACAGGAAAAAATAAAGAATAAGGGAAAAGATTTTCTATCTGAAGCAAAATGTACCTTTTTTAGATTGCCCATTCTTGAATGATTTTCTCTTTTGAAAGATTATTAGTGCAGAGGGAAGGACAGCTACCATCACACATGTGGGGATGATAAATAAGATCAGGGATTTTTGTCCACTGTACGGTGTGCTCATTAAAGCTGTCAAAAACATGAAAATAAAGTAAGTTTATAACTTACAAAACAGATATCTTTTATGAATTTGGTAGTTCTGATTCTCCACTGTCTCGCTCTGACTGAACAAAAGATCCTTAAAATTTATCAATGTAGTGTTTTACACTCATTTTAGGAATACTGTAATCTGCAATATTACTATAAGAATCTTTACAGAAAATTAGAGAGATCTCTCATTTGTATAGCATTTGAATGAGCAGTACCACAATTTTTCTGTATCCCATTTGAAGAAAAATTAATTAGTAGTCTAGATCAGGGATGACACCCATGCAAATTAAAGGTTTTCCTCTGTACTGGCAGCCAAATAATGGGAACTACCCTAAAATTAAAATATAAAGAAAAATGACAGACTGCCTTGTTGGAGTGCAAGCTAGCTGAGGCTTCAAAGGTGTAAATAATAGTGACTTGTTTCTTTTCCAATATTACACTGTTTTCTAGAACTGAAGTCCAGTGGTGGATTAGAGGACAAGATATATGTACAAATACTCCCCGTCTTGTACAAATTCAAGGTGATACAAACCTAAAGTAGAAATGTGAGCTGAAGTTTCTCCATTTAGTTCTTTATTCCAGAACACACAGCTGCAGTTCTCACTCATATTTGGTTTGAATGTCAGGATGCTGGTGACATTGTAGAGGCCATCTACGGTCATGGTATAGGTGGTATTTACAGATCCACTGAGATTGAAGTTCTTCTCATTTTGCCAGAAAACCTCTGCCAGAGGAAAGCCTTCTGACTGACACATAAAAACAAACTTGTCTTCACCTGGTTTTCTCATTACTTGAGTGTTTATTTTCTTGTAGGGTGCTGCATAAGAAGAAGTTGAGGAAAATTATGCAACAATAGTAATATTCTCACTTCACTCTTCCTCCTTCCTATTAATGCCATATTTTGCCTAAGGCTGTATCTGAGGTACACTTATTTGAAATGATGAAGTATGTTTTGTAGAACGATTCAATATTCATTGTTCAATCCTTGTCACGCCTATAGCGACAGAACTTATTCCACTACTTTATACAAGGCAGCAGTTGACACTGAATTTATAATTAATCAATACATAGGAAACAAGTGAAGTCTCATGGAACTCTGTTTTTACTTTTTGAATATGCTACTTCAAGACAAAGGCCATTTTTAATGTTTATTTTACCAGCTTATAAATAAGTGTGATATTTTCATCACATTAGAACAAAATGAACTTGGAATTTCTGTGAGGATAGTTCAGAGGAACCAATGTGGGTCTTAAAAATGGATGTATCCATTTTTGCATTTTACAAAGCTCATTGTTTAAATAGCTGTGTGGGAAATGAATGCAGCCTTGTATCACATGGACATACTGCAGTTAGTGGGAAACACCAGAAGCCTTTCAAAGGACTGATCTATCACGCTACCCAGTAACGTGCACCTTTATTACTAATGTCCATTTGGCTTCAGTGAACACAGGAAATAATATGTCCTTGCTCTGCAGTCACTCAGGGAATTCCCAGCCACTTGGGTAGTTGCAGCAGTGCACATAAGTAGAAAATCAAAGAACCTCTGAGAAACTTTTGGGAATGGCTAGAGGTGGCCCAACAGGGCAGGGGTTCAAATGAGAGGTGGGGTGTGGGGACACTGGAGAAGAGGGTGTGGGAAGAAAGAGAAAGGATGAAGGTCAGAGGGGGCACAGTTGCTGTCTCTCTCTGGCACAGGCTGCTCCGGGAGAAGCTCAGCTGGCTGTTGAACTAAAGAGCAGAGAGCACTAAGACAGCTGCTTTGCTTCACCTGGGGGCTGAGCACAGGGTCTTGGTGAGAGAATTAGCAACAAATTCCTCCAAATTAATCAATTTCTACAAGTCTGCAGGAATGTAGTAGAGACATCTCAATGAATATATTCTTACATTCAATACAGCCACTAACCTTTTACCTCCAAAGTAATGTACTTGTAGTCCACGCCCTGGTAGTCAATGAGACAAAGGTAAGATCCTGCATCTGTGATCTTCACGCTAGTGATCTGAAGGATAGCTCGTCCCAATTTCAGTTCACTGTGCAGAAGTGCTGCTCTTCCGATGTAATCTTGGTGTTGGGATGGAGGAAATGCTTTCCCATTGCGGAGTGTGTACACCTCCTTTGATTTTGACTGGCTCTGCCTTTTTTGCTCCCAAACAACAGTCAGAAGTCCTAGGTTTAACGAACCGTTCACAGGGAATCTGCATTCCATGGTCACATTGTTCCCATACTCCACAATGTATAGCTGTTGAGGAACTTCAACTGTAAATAAAGCTATGGCAGGAAAAGAAAACAGTTTAATTTGTTGCATTAAAATATGTTTTGATTTTCTTTAAATTTGGGGAAAAAGGTGTCATGTAGTCAGGCATATGGTTACTGATTTCACTAAAAGTTTTAAGGATTTTTTTGTTCCTACTCACACATGTCAGTAGTATTTATAGCAAATCATCTATATTCTGTATTGATTAAGAGTCTGAAAAACAAGGACAAAATGAGCAAGGATTTATTTTCACATTTTAGGAATAACTTAAGGCTGGGTGAGTCATAACACAGGGAGCACTTCTGTGGAACTATGATTGTCCTAAGATTCTCGTAAAAGCAACAGTTAATTGTGGAAATAGTAAATCTAATTTCATTATCCTTTACAAAGAGACAATCACTTTTCTCTTTGTAAAGGTTACACTGGATAAGTGTAACTTGAAAGAACTGCCATGTAGCAATTACAGTCCTCCACAAGCCTGGGACCATGTGAGTATCATTTGATCCCATGCATCTTCTCAGATACATGCAACAGTATTACAGAAAGTATATCAAAATAAGCTTCTTAGCCATTCACCAAATCTGAAATTTATAGTTATGAATAGATCACCATTTTAGTGTACTTGATAAATGAGACATTCATGACACATCATTCAATCTGCTTTCTATATTGGATGTACCATATATTAATAGATTTAATTCAGAAGAACTTGGAAGTACTGATAGTGACACTCCAAAGAGAAGTTCATGCAACTGCTTATGCATTCCTTTTATTGCATGTGTTTGTGAAATACTTACAGGGAAGGCTTCAGTTCCCCTTAGTAATGTTTGTTTATTCACTTTCATATAACCATAATGAGGGAAAAAACAGTAAGAAAAAGTGCCAGGCCCCTTCTGGGCTTTAGGCAGGCTGCTCCTGTTACAGGCATGGACAGGGGAATACATGTGGTTTTACTTGACGGCCTCACACTGAGGTTGTTCCGCTTTACAATGGGCTTATGTTGCTTTGGCCAGCTTCACTCTCATAGCCATGCCTGCTAATGCTAGATGCCTTGGCTGTCAATACACTATGGTTTAAAGATTTGACTGTGGAAAGCATCAGACATCTGTCCCATGTGCTGTTAGTACATGATGCCTTCTGTAAGACACTGCAAAGCAGAGGCTCCAGACATCACTGGCTATTCATGAAAGTATTACTGGAGGTGCTGAAGCCTGTGTACTGAGGGCATAGTGGTATCTGCTGCATTGGTTCTGCTGGTGGAATTGAAATGTAGTTTCTCACCTGAAACCACAGAGAGCTGCAATTCCAACAATAGCACTGTGAGGACCTGGAACATTTTCTCAGGTGGATCTGAAACAAAAGTAGGATTGCATCAGAACCTGCAACAACTACCTTCTGCTGAAGTAGATTAGAGCCATGCTAACCTTCAAAACCTATCGCAGCTAAAAATCAGCCAACAACCCCCACCCCCAAAAAAAATACTAGACTACCACTAGAAACAAGGCAAATCCTGATTCAAGCAACCTGTGCACACACATGGAATATGAACCACTGACATGAAGTGATGAAGGGAAATAAAACATTTCCACAACTCCACCTGTGAGGCTTTCAGGATCTGTAGCTTGCAGGCAATCTTAAATAGTCTGACAGGGAAGTGCTTTTACAACTTCACATTGAAACTCTACCCTTGAATAATAAAAGTCAAATGCAGTTGGCTTCTCACACATGGGAGAACTTCACAAACATGCCAAAGCAGACTTTTTTAACTGCCTGCACTAACACGTTATCTAGTTTACAAGAACACTAACCCTGATTTTGTTTCAACTCTACATACTTTTTTGAGGATATTTACTGAGTTCTTTAACCTCAAAACCAGCAGATACCTGGAACACAATGTTAAGTACTGGAAATCTTGGGGTGGGTAAACTAAAGTTTGCTTCAGAATGGATTAGATATGAAGACTTAATGCTGCTAATTCTTTCACTCTGCACATGGCAGCACCTGACAACAAAGTATGTTGTATTACTGACAGTAAACCAACAGCCCTGAAATAGTGCAAAAGGAGAAAGTCCAGGTTTAGTATCTTCCTGTTCCAGTAACAAGCAAACTATTGTTCACAGTTTTGTATACAGATCAGCAGAACTAAAAAGCAAAAAACATTTGCAGGGGCAACGTTTATAAAACTGAAGAGATTGTAGAAAAGAAGGAATAATTACTTTGAATAAAGCATGATAACATATAGTATAATCTGAAAAATTAGAGAAGGAGATCCAGAAATAAGCATAAGGAAGTAAAGAAGAGAAGGAGCAATTTTAGACTTCCCCAGAGCTAGACTTACTGGAGAGGGTTTTTAATTTTACTTCCCCATTCATTTGTGGCTTAACTTAAAACATTCTGTCTCTGATCTTCTCAGATGCTGCATTTCTCTGATTGCTTCCACCTTTCACCTCTCAGTACCTCACAAAGTAAGGCTCAAGCTTTAGCAAAGTTAGCAGCCAAAATTAAAGAACTTTTTCTGAAAATTTTCTGAAAATTTCTGAAAATCTTAATCTTTTGATGTCACAGCTAAAGGTGACCTTTATGTCACCATAAATGTTCATATGCAAACTACAGTAAGCAGACTTATTACGTGCAAATAAAAGCTAGTTATCTTTATCAGAGGACTGAGTTGCCAGTAATTAATGTGTGATAAATCGTAATTATTTTAGCTATATGAGAAAGGAGCTAATAAAACCCATCAGCATCAGTACCTCCATTTCTTGGAGGCAGAAACAAAGACCCTCTACTGCCCTGACAGCTGGGTTAAATTTCACTCATTATGTAGCCATCAGTGTTGCACAGTTAATACTATAAAGAATTTTACCATCCTCAATCTCCTGCTGTGTTCACTTCTTCACACAGCCTACCTAGAAGCAGGTGGACATAGAAGGAAGAACAGAATGAAGAATGGAATAATATTTCATATCACTGTTTAGATCCCTGGATTAGCCTCATTTGGGACATTTGAGGTGATCTACTCTTTTTATAGCTATGAGTACATTGAGAATGCAGAGCATGTATCTTGCAAAATGTAGGATGGGACTTTTTAAAATATACATATTACTGAGAATAAAAGGATAGAACAAAAATAAGGTGATACACCACCAAAATCCCAGCAGGCAACAATCATAAATAAAAGTAAATCTTGCCTGACCAGATGGATGAGAAGAGCATGACACATATCATAAATAAATAGAAGAACCTAAACAGGGAAACATTTTTGCTTGTGATATTGAAAGCAGAGTCATGGAATGCTTGTGGGATATGTATTAAAAGGATCAAGGATCTATCAGCAAGGATCTGTATTAGAAGCCATTATTCTTTATTTTTATGATCTTACTAGTGGACATCAACCTGTTGTGCAACCTTGGTGCAATGTAACCATACAACTTAATCATATGGCTCTGCCAAGTATTCTGACACACTTCCATGAGGAAGGTCTGCACCAGCACCTGGAAGGTGATTTCTTCTGAGCTTGCAGCACCAGCCATTCATGATGTTACAGGATAGCCCTCGTTTTCTCCCTACCTTTTGTAAAACATATGCCATGCTCTGCTGTGCAGTAGTCCTTGTACACAACTACCCTCACAAGTTCATCCATAGCACTATCTTTTTTTTTTTCCTTTAAAAAAAGGCCGTTTCTAAAGCGTATTCGTCATCTGTCTGTTACCACTTCATAGGAATATAACAAAGGAACACTGCACCATGAATATCAGCACTTAGTGGCTCTGGCAGCAAAGTCAGAAATTGAAATTTACATCTGAGAACATGAGGAAGTCGCATGACATTTCAACAGCAATTCAGATCCTGTCAGTAAATGAATTTCCCAGACCAATCTGCAGAAGAAAAAGCAAGTTTTCACACAGTGCTGTGGGATTATGGAAATGAAGCTGAATAAACCTTTGAGGGTTGAGGTGATGAAAACCATAGCATCAGACATCTAAAAACTATCATGGCTTTTTCTGACTTGTAATAGTTTCAATGAGGATGTAGGGCCCAAGGCTAAAAATTTGAATGGGAACAATGAAAACAAAGGCATGACAATATCAATGGAAGAAGGGAGGAATATAATCTTCTCTTTTTATATAGCTTTTTTATTTTACTGTAAGTACTACATTGAAACATGTACTTAACTTTCTTTGGCCCAAAAGGAACATGTTCTGGTAAGTTTTCTTAGTGAATGCTGAGTGAAACCCAGAAGGCAATTATAATAAATTGCTAAAATTCCGCCAAAAGGTCAAAACAACACCGTGCATAGTTTTCCTCCTTTTGATTCAGCTGATCATGTCTATGACTTTAGTCCTGGCCTCAGTTCACATACCCACAGGGATCATAACACTCATCTCCCCCCCCAAAATATAACTTTTGGCCAATGGATTGTACCAGTTCACATAAAGTCTCAAAATTCTCCTGGTGAGGAGTGAGAAAGATATTTTTTTTCTCTCAGAAAATTTAGACTCAGCATTCCCATTTCAAACTGCACAAGCTGTACACTCTAGGCCACAATATTGTTTTCAACATATTCAATTTTCAACATGAAGTATAGACTTCATTACAGTTCTTCAGACAGAAGTGAAAAGATGCTTGTTCTACAGAGCTGTATAAGGCTGCTCTCAGAAGGTAAAAGTGGTGGCAAAAGGGGAACATCAAACTCTGCTGTATGCTTAAACCATGGAGCTCCTGAGCAAAAGCTGAGGTACTTCTTTCAGGTAGCTGTGCTTTGTGTAGATCTCTTTGACATGCATTTATTGTTATGGCTACTGCATCTTCTTTTTGGGGAACACTCAGGTTGTGAACCACAGTGAGTTGGCAAAGGAGGTTGGCACGAATCTGATCAGAAGTGTTAGAACTGATGTGACCTCAGTTGGTGACAACTCCCACAATGTTGACAATACTGCAGAGTTTGCAAGAACCTTTGTAAGCAAAAGGACATTGAAAACACAGAATATTTTGCAATCTACTCCTTGAAAATAAAGATTGAAACCCATATCTGAATAATGTGAACTGTGAATTCAATTCTGTTCCTTCCTTCCATGTAGCTGAAAGATCGTTGTGCTCTTCTTAAATAAAAGGAGCATCTTAGTATAAGACCTTAATACAAGACCCTCTGGCACCACCTTTGGTTAGTAGCCTTGCTATGATTGTACCTGCCCATGGCAGGAATGTTGGACTAGATGAGGTTCCATTCAACTCAAACCATTCTGTGATTCTCTGATTGTACAATTGGTTGCTGCCAACACAAGGATAACAAAGGATGCTGTGCCAGATGAATCTTCTTTATGTTGTCCACAAAATGAACACAAACAGAGGTACAGTCATTGATTCAGGGACCTTATAGTCTAACAAATCATGGATAACCCTTTCCTGGAAACATCATTTCAGCTATTAAAATATTTGTATTCCAGTGAATGGATGATTAAGAACAGTAAACACATTTAGCATTTACGTAATGATGCTTAGTAGCAGTAAGTAATGACAGTTTTGTAGACCAAGAGCATATCTTCCGCTTGAATAATCATAACCGTTTGAAAACCTAAACTGGCTCCCAAACATAACAGCTCTTCTCCAGGTTTAAAGCAGATGTCAAACATACATAGAAGTCCAGAATAATCACTCAGACTTCAGTTTTAAAGATTAAAGAACTGATGAGAGGGTACTTGGTCCTTTTGAAGTTAAGTAGGTATTGTAGGCAGACCCTTGTTTGTATTTTATTTCCCCACAGACTACGTTAGCATCTTGACAGCACTTATGATGTGATCATGCTCAGTTTTAGCAGGTATAACAAAGGTGTTCTTACAAAGTTCCTGGAAGAAAGCAGGGACATTGTACTCCACAGCTGGAATTTAGGAGGAGGATGGTAACATCAGCAGACTGGCCAGGTGTCAAGTGCACTTTAGCAAACAAGGTATTGCAGGTGATCTGAAAGACTGGTGAGAAATCCTGAGCTGACTGACTTTGTTACAGATTTGAAACAGCAAACCTGCAATTGATTTGTTAATTTCTACATTCAGCATTTTTGTTCTGCTGCTGACATACTCTAACATCACAGAGATCAACTCAGATCACTCTTTTCCTATTCCCTTTACCCCTACAGCTTTTGTATTTTTGTACTGCAAGGGTAGTGCCTGCACAAAGCATAAATCAGCGCCCTCTGGAAATATCACAGAAACTCATCTGAATACCAGAAGTAATCAAGCTGTGTTAACATGGCATCCTACTTGGCTCCATTTGGCCAAATGAAAGCAAGCATGAGAGCAATACCAAGCTCATGTGACTGTGCTGCTTCTCACGCCTAAGCTA